GCAACATATGTCTACTCTCCAAGCGTTGAGTATACGGCTGGTTGTAGCAACCACTCCCCAAGATCAACATAATGAAACTTCGCCATGGAGCAGCACCAGTGTCATCCCAATGAGGGGCCTTTATCAAGGCCGGTCCTGACAGTGCTTTCATGGAACGCTGAAGGCCTATCAGACGCCAAGGAGGAATTCCTCGCAACTCTGTGCAAGAATCTCGACTGCGACTTGTTATGTCTCCAAGAGACACACCGTGGCAGTGACAATCCACGACCCATACGCAACCATACGCATGGGCAACCATACGCAAGCTTGGCATTGACAACACCCGAGCTGAACAGCATTACAATGTTACAGCTGACCAAGTAGCAAACCAACTGTTGCTGAACGGAAAGGCCCCCAAAACAACAAATACAGACAGGCACAAGCTACCCGGAGCTGACCATAACCTGTCATATTTCACCAGACCTCTCTCTGCTGAAGAACTACAGAAAGGTATCTCCACCCTACAGGTCAACAAGGCAGCAGGCATCGACGACCTAAGAACAGAGCAGATCAAACACATGGGCCCTGCAGCCCAACAATGGCTACTAGACATGTTCAACAACTGCATCGAGAACACCTGTGTCCCAAAACAGTGGCTCCGAACCAAAGTCGTTGCTATCCTCAAGCCAGGAAAGGATCCAAACGAAGCAAGGAACTTTCGACCGATCTTACTCCTGTGCCAAACTTACAAGCTTCTCGAACGCCTTATTCTCAACAGAATTGTACCCCATGTTGACAGCCAACTAAACTGTGAGCAGGCAGGCTTCCGACCAGGAAAATCCACCATAGGACAACTTCTTAACCTGACCCAACACATTGAAGACGGCTTTCAGAACAACCTCATCACCGGCGCAGTATTTGTAGACCTTTCTGCTGCATACGACAGTCAACCACCAAAGGCTACTGACAAAACTTCATGACATCACAAATGACCTTAAACTCACCAGATTCATCCAGAAGATGATTATTCTCAACAGAATTGTACCCCATGTTGACAGCCAACTAAACTGTGAGCAAGCAGGCTTCCGACCAGGAAAATCCACCACAGGACAACTTCTTAACCTGACCCAACACATTGAAGACGGCTTTCAGAACAACCTCATCACCGGCGCAGTATATGTAGACCTTTCTGCTGCATACGACAGTCATAACCACAAAGGCTACTGGCAAAACTTCATGACATCACAAATGACCTTAAACTCACCAGATTCATCCAAAAGATGATGCAGAACAGACGCTTCTTTGTCGAACTCGATGGACTGAAGAGCAGATGGCGGAAACAGAAGAACGGTCTTCCCCAGGGTGGCGTCCTGGCGCCTACACTCTACAACATCTACACTGCCGACATTCCATCAACTGAGAACACTCGAAACTTCATCTATGCAGATGACACCTTCATCATCACAACCCAGCATAACACCTTTGAAGCTGTTGAACACCACCTCGACAAAGCACTCGCAAACCTGTCAGAATACTACCGAGCAAACTACCTGCGAGCAAACCCGTCCAAGACCCAGGTGTGTGTCTTCCACCTCAAGAACAGGGAGGCCAAGAGGGAACTGAAGATAGAGTGGTACAATGTGCAGCTAAAACACTGCGAACATCCAGTGTACCTAGGCATGCAACTCGATCGCACCTTATCCTATAAGCAGCACATCCAGAAGACAATAGGTAAAGTGGGATCTCGAAATGCCATCATCGGGAAGCTCGCAACATCACACTATGGTGCTGACCCCAAAACCGTAGAAACAGCAGCTGTTGCCCTCTGCATGTCATCCGCAGAATATGCTTGTCCTGTATGGAGCAGATCAGCTCATGTGAAAAAGCTTGACAGCACACTCAACAACACATACTGAAAGATAACAGTCTGCCTGAGTCCAACAAACGTTGAGAAGATATATCAACTCTCTGGGGTCGGATCTCCAGACCAAAGGCGCACTAACATCTGTCTAAAGGAACGACTGAAACAGTGCACAGATGGCAGGCACATGCTGTACGGACACCAACCGCCCCACAAGTGCCTTGTTTTCCGGCACAGCTTTCTGGATTCTGTCCCACCACCTGAGCAGAATCCCCCATCACCAGTCAAGCCTCTACTCATCAGAGGACTCAACTTGAAGTGGCCAGAGTGGCAATGTCTGAACCGGCTGCGGACCAGAATGGGGCAGTGCAGGGCAAACATGGCAAGATGGGGTTATACCGATAAAGAAGATACCATCTGTGACTGCGGACAGATCCAAACGATGGACCATGTTCTGGAGTGCGGTGGAATAAACTGCACGTACGAGGACCTGACCCTTGTCACTGAGACGGCCATCACAAGCATCCAGAGATGGAGGGACATTATATGATCTATGGAGGAGACACGAACGCACGAACTTAGCAAAAGGACAATGTAATAGGAATGGATTGGCCTAAATTAACTACTGGGGTATTTGCTTTCTCCATGATGCTTTCTATGGTTTCAAGAACACACACTTTTATTGTGTGTTCAAATACTACCTGTGGGAGTGCCAGCTTTACCAACCGTTATAATAAGGTGCATGGAACATATAGGGCATAGTACCAAAAATGAAGGAATTTCATCCCAGCCACCCCAACCCCGGCCCCTTGCCATTTCCGGATCTAAACTTTGGTGTCTTGCCGGGACTAGTTTTTTTTAAGGTGACTGAGCATGCTCTGTTGTAACTCCACAGTGTCCATGGTAACCTGTATTTAACAGGTGTCCATGGCTGTTCATGTAGGATGGTTAAGAAACGGATAGTTGTTTATTCTGCCTGACTTAGGTATTCCGTTACGTAACAAATTGTGTACGGTCACTGCCTCCTGCACACTGAAGTACATATACTGCTATAGTAGTACATACTCAGTGGGCCTAGATGGTAAAAGCAAAACTCTACATTTATTATGAGAACTAAGGGAACTGTGAGGGAATGAGAATTTTAATTTTCGGAGAATTTTAAGAAACAATTTTCTATATTCTTGTACAAAATGCTCGCATTTATATATCAGTCCCTTATATACATGTACACGCAAAAGGACAGAAAATTGACTAAATGCTCATCTATTTTTATGTCTTCCTTTTTATTAAATAAAAAAATTATATTCATTACGGAAATGATATTATGCAAAGTGTCTACAAGCCCTGCATGTAAGTTTAGTCCCAACTGATCACATAAACAATGTCTTAACAAAAAGAAAAAAAGATGCAGTTTTGTTTTGCCTTATCGATCGTTTTCGTAACTTTCAAGCAAACAACATCAACAAAAAAGCTTTAACATTTTTTTTTTACAAAATAGAACAATGAATGACAGTACTTAACTCTTTCAGTGCCAACCTCGTACATGTCAAGGTTATGTTCGTGCTTAAAATCGCCAAACCTCGTACATGTATGAGGTAGAGTAAACATGTTATCAAAAGGGGGCACTCTCGCTCTTTCTAATGGTACCATTTTCATGCATGTATGACCTGTATTTATTTTTATATTCGAGTTCTTGTGAGATGGCGTCACACTAAGTTTCGATTTGTTGACAAAATGGTGGCGCCCATAAACCGAGCTCGCGTGTTATCTCCAGAGAAAATCAGTGTATTTTTTCGCCGATTTGGACAGGGTAAGGGAATACTTTTCTGATTCAGAGTAATCCATGGATATTTCAGAAGTGGATGGTGAGTCAGAAGACGAACATTGGGATACCAATACAAATGATAATGATGGTGCTAAAGTGACAATCATGACAATATTTATTATAATGAACAGAGTTTGTATGAGGAGGGGTATCAGACGCGACACACGTATATTCTGCAAAAGTGCGGAATTCCCCTGTGTTCAGGAGAGTGTTTCAGGGTGTATTACTAGGTGCATGACTAATATTGACTTTTGAAGGTAACAAGAATATACCAGAGAGCAAGATACAACAAGTTTGGTGATTACAACTTATTTACTCTTTTTTTTTATAGAATTTTGAATAATTAAAAAAAAAGCTTGAAGTTGGGCACTTTAGGGTTAAACTTTGATAATGTCGTGGGCACTGAAAGAGTTTTAAAAAAAATCAACTGCAACTGTCAAATTTAAACTTTCCAAGTTTTACATTATTGCAAGGTATGCCGAAGGTGTAGGCAATAACTCAAGTTCGGTCATATTTTGTACATTACTGTGTGCATGTATCTTTACGACAGTAGCAGTGTTTGTTGAAATATGTTTTGAATATGTTTTGGAATATTTCTTTGGACAGTCTTAGCAGCAAAAAAAGCATTTTCTACCTTGGTTTGAAAGTTTAAATTTGACAGTTGCAATTGATTTGTTTTTTCCGTGAGGCAAATATCTATCCTGTTTCAGGTTGTTGTTTTTGCCTCGCAAGGCGAAAAAGTCAGGCAACCAAAGCCACGTGCTGAGCCAAATGATTTGAAATCATGTACTCTGTACACATGATTCTATGATATTGTTGTGCAATTCTTCTAAAGCCTGTTGGCTTTTTTGCCCATTTTTGAAATCATGCGACCGACAAACAAGAATAATGTGCTGTCATTGGCAAGTTATTAATTTTTTTTGGCTCAACACATAGCTCTGGTGTGCGGTGGACTTGAGGGATGGTGGAATATACTCAATTTGCCAGGAAATTCAACTGTAGGCTGGATAAGCCTCGGCCCTCATGCCTTGGCTAGCGGTTTAAACCTTGACAAGCTGCTGCCGTTGACTGCCGGCCAGTAGAGGGCCGTTTTCAGGTCCAGCTCTCGCAGATGCATCAGGGAACTGACAAGACTACAGCGGATGAGATTCTTGAGCATCGTCTCTAGGTAGGCCTGGGGGTAGTCACCGTCCTCTTGGATCGCGAGCCTGTATCACCGGGCCAAGGCCATGACGGTGTCCTGGAACTGCTCCATGAAGTCCCCGTAAATGAAGAGGGTTAGAGGGAGCCAGGTGGGGTAGGCCTGGAGGGAGGAGATGACCGTATGGGCCGCTTGTGGTTCATGCCGATGGCTACGGCTAAAGAGACTGAACCTCGCTGGCAGAGGGAGTAGATATTACCAGCCGTGCCTGGCGTGTTGAGTGGGATCTGTGGTAGGCATACACAGGGAGAAATTTAATAATGTAGTTGTGTCATTCAAACGTCCTCACAAGTCCACCACAAGCCCATCACACGTCCTCTAATATCAAGTCAAGTAACAAGCTATTCAATGGATAACTTGGACAGAAGCAGTTTTTGTTTAATTGTTATGTGAAATGCCTTGTGATTTACATTTGACCAGATTTGTGGTGGACTTGACTACTTCACTAGAAATTCGTACTTTGTGTAAAAAAAAAGTCCTACTTTTCATCCTGAATAAATTTGTTGTTTACAGATCATGTAAACAAGGCATGACAAATTTTATGGACTGAGTTTCATCAACTTTTTGCGAGAGAGTCAGATTTAAACGCCATACAAAAATAATACCCATTTTCAGAATGTCTATACAGCACTGGAGACGGTGGCTGAAGGCGCGTGCTACAGCCGAAAGCTTCACGAAGGAACGTAGGATTTCCCCTGATGTCATTGCACATCGCCTCGATCATGAGGATTGAGGTGTGCAATGACATCAGGGGTGATCCTGGATTTCTTCAAAAGCTTTCAGCAGCAGCATGCGTCTCCGCCACCATCTCCAGCGCTGTATCAACATTGGAGGACGCCAAAGCAAAAGTGGCAGAAAGTGAGTAATTGTTTTCAAATGGCGTTTACATCTCACCCTCTTGCACAAAGCTAATGAAACTCACTACATAAAATCTGTCATGCCTTGTTTACATGATCTGAACATTTGGTTTAATTTCGTTAGTAAAAAAGAGAGTTATTTAGTATAAAAAGCAATGAGGGGCGTGGGATTTGCAGGGTGGTTGTGAGCAATACATCGATAAAGTTGGAAAAACATACTTCAGGCGGGTGGAGTTTCTTGAAGTCGCTGTACGTGTGCCTGTCTGTCTCCCATTCCTTCAGTATGAAACCTGCCTCTCCGATGTCCAGGACAAGCTGTTTCTTGCTTTTCTGTGACCAACCCATGGGCTGGCTGATACTCGTCGTACAACCTGCAAAGGTATCATATAGACAAATTATCACTGCTTATTCGCAGCTTCTTCGCATACTCTCCATCTGTTGAATTTCCAGCCAGAATCATATGTTTTACTCAGGTGGCTTTAAGTCTTGAGGTCGGCGAATTTCATGAAAAGCAGTGTTTTAGTCAGACAAGTATAGTCTCATCTGAACACGTCATCACTTCACATTCACTGAGGCCCTCTGTCAATGACAAAAGCATTGTGTCAGTTATGGTACAGAAAAAAACCATGATGGAGTTTAGTCTGGACAGTTGTTGGCACAATGCATTCTTCACTGAAAAGAGATGTCGGGGGGAACTAAAATTTAAAAGTACTTAACTTTAAAATCGACGAAAACTGCCCGTCATCTTCTGCCACCATAGACCCTCATCTTCTTCTTCATGGACCTGCACAGGACACCAGGACAAAAGACAAAAAAGATACTGCAAAAAAAAAAGAACAATGTTAATCACCAGTCACAAATGTACATCTTTCAAAATTCCACATAACTAACACATACAAATACAAAGAAAGAGCTCATTTCCAGCCAGACGCGATGCTATTTCGTTACACTTTTCATGCTAAACGCACTCAATTTCAACTTGTTGTCATGCAATAAAGCTCAGAAAATATAAGAACTTTCAGTTGCATCATTTCAGACATTTTGCGCAAGTGTTCCAATGGCTAGATCGCGGGCTTCGGAAATCAATTCTTTGACTTCAACACAGAGACAAGGGCCCACATTACATCAAACAAAACAACACGGTTGTCCTGCCCCCAGATCTGAAAAGAGGACAGTAATCCAACTTTTCAGACCTGAGTTCAAGAGGGGGTAAAATTTACAAGTACTTAACTTTGAAATCGACAAAAACTGCCCAGTGTCTTCTTCTGCACCAGAGACCTTCATCTTCTTCTTCATGGACCTGCACAGGACACACGGACAAAAAGACCAACAAAAAAAAAAAAACTGCAAAAAAAAAACAAGAATGTTAATCACCAGTCACAAATGTACATTTCAAAATTACACATAAATAACACATACAAAGAAAGAGCTCATTCCAGCCAGACGCGATGCTATTTAGTGCTCTTTTCATGTGGCGCGCGCACTCAAATTTCGACTTGTTGTCCTACAATAAAGCTCCCAAAATATAAGAACTTTTAGTTGCATAATTCAGACATTTTGCGCAAGTGTTGCAAGTGGCTATATCGCGGGCTTCGGAAATCAATTCTTTGACTTCAACACAGAGACAAGGGCCCACATTACATCAAACAAAACAACACGGTTGTCCTGCCCCAGATCTGAAAAGAGGAAAGTGATCCAACTTTTCAGACCTGAGTTCAAGAGGGGGTAAAAATTTACAAAGTACTTAACTTTTAAATCGACGAAAACTGCCCGGCGTCTTCTTCTGCACCAGAGACCTTCATTCTTCTTCATGGACCTGCACAGGACACACGGACAAAAAAGACCCAAAAAAAGACTGCAAAAAAAAAACACAAGAATGTTAATCACCAGTCACAAATGTACATCTTTCAAAATTACACATAAAATAACACATACAAAGAAAGAGCTCATTTCCAGCCAGACGCGATGCTATTTCGTTGCTCTTTTCATGCGGCGCGCACTCAAATTTCGACTTGTTGTCCTACAATAAAGCTCCCAAAATATAAGAACTTTTAGTTGCATAATTTCAGACATTTTGCGCAAGTGTTGCAAGTGGCTAGATCGCGGCTTCGGAAATCAATTCTTTGACTTCAACACAGAGACAAGGGCCCACATTACATCAAACAAAACAACACGGTTGTCCTGCCCCCAGATCTGAAAAGAGGACAGTGATCCAACTTTTCAGACCTGAGTTCAAGAGGGGGTAAAATTTACAAGTACTTAACTTTTAAATCGACGAAAAACTGCCCGGCGTCTTCTTCTGCACCAGAGACCTTCATCTTCTTCTTCATGGACCTGCACAGGACACG